CCTATTCTGTTCCTGTGGACTATCCCTGTGTCAGTACAACACTGTCTTATTCTCTGTATCTTACAGAGCCCGTCCTCACAGTGTTCTTCATGATTGCCGTGGCTTTCCTTGGAAATTTCTACTTCAATGTAAATTCTATAATAGTTGAGTTCCGCAAAAGTCATTTGGGAGATTGGGTGACATATGGCTTAATTCTGAAGGTTAATTAGGATAGAATTAACATTTATCTAATACTGTTTTCAAACCCATTAATATGCACCTTTTTCAATTTATTTGCATCTTTAGTGTCCTTCAATACAGATTTATAATTCCCTTTATTGAGAAAGTGCACATTATACTTATGTGATGTACATCTCTAAAGAATGAGACATGTTCCAGGTATTTCAAAACTTTATATGCTATTGTCAATGGCATCTTTTATAACATCCACTTTTTGTTTCTTACTGTGATATAGAAATGCATTTGATTTTTGTAATTTGATTTTGTCTCTTGAAATCTTGCTAACTCTTATTAAGTCTCCAAATGTATCTGTATATACTTTTGGATTTTTTAATATATATAATAATTTATGAAGAAACACCGCTTTGTTATTTTTTCAATATAAGTATCTTTTACTTATTGTTGTTGTCTTTCTAGACTAGGACCTGATGCTACTGAGTTAGGAATGCTATTTGCTGAAGACACCTTTTACCTTGTTAGGGAAATTCTCTTTTCTTCCTTCTTGGCTGTGGGTTTCATTAGAAAGACATTTGAAATCACCCAATGTTCATGTTTTTCATATTTTGAGATTTAATCAGTGAAGGGCCAATCATGACAATAGAAGCCAAATGTATTTCAGCAGTGGGAATGTAATACAAGGGGTATATTACGCAGATGTTGAAACACTAATGGAACACAAAACAACCTCTGCCAGGAGGCCTTGCATCACCCTAGTCTAAGTGCCTATCTTGAGGATTTTTGTTTTTGGGTTTTTTGGTTTTGTTTTTTTTTTAGTTTTCTTATGTATACATTTTACTGAGATATAATTGACATGTCACATTATGTTACTGTCAGGTGTCCATTATAATGATTTGATATATGTATACATGGTGAAGTGTCACTAGAATATGTCACATTAACGTCCATCACCATAATATATTGACTCATTTTTTCTTGTGATCAGAATTTTTAACAATTTTCTCTCTTAGCTATTTTCAAATATACAAAAAGTATTATTAAGTATATTATTAAATTAATAGTATTACTAACTAATATTATTAATTATAATGATGAAACTATACATTACGTCCCCATGAGTTAATTATTTTATTGTAACATTGTGCTTTTGCCCACCTGTGACTGCTGGCAATCATTAATATGTTCTCTGTATCTATGAGTTCTATTTTTTTAACTTTGCACATGGAAGTGAGATCATACAGTATTTGTCTTTCTCTGTCTGACTTATTTCACTTAGCATAATGCCCTCATGGTCTGTCCATGTTATTGCAAGTGGCAAATTGCCTCTTTTTTATGGCTGAATAATATTCCCTAGTCCGTGTACCACATTTTCCTCATCCATTCATTTTTCCATGCCATCTAGGTGGCCTCCATATCTTGGCTATTGTAAATAATCCTGCAATGAACACGGGGGCGCATATCATTTTTCAAGTTAGTGTTTTCATTTCTTCTGAATAATTACCCAGAAGTAGAATTGCTGGATCATAGGGGAGCTCTATTTTGAATTTTTGAGGAACTGCCATACTGATTTACATAGTGGCTGCACCAACTTACATTTCTACCAACATGCAAGAGAGTTGTGCTTTCTCTACATCCTTGCCAACATTTGTAGTTTCTTCTCTTTTTCAATCTCAGTTTGAGATATGCTAGGCCACTCAGTGATGTGAAATGTGGGGACACAATGATGGGAGGCCTGCTTTCTTTAGTCCTTTGCTTGCACAAGACAATCTTCTTGGCAATATGTGAAGAGTCAGGGGTGAGTGGGGGATAGGGCTGGTTCCCTCTCGCTCGCCTGGAATCCGTGGCAGGGGCAGACCCAGGTTTTGTGGAGCCTGATGTTTATACAAATGTTAAGATCAGTCCTTCAGAAAGAAAATACAAAATGTGGCACACATAAGAATTTTTCTGAAATGGTAAAACACATCCCATCAAGTCACAAAGCTAAAATGCTCTAAACTAAAATATAAGAAACTACAGGAAAATGAAAGACTATTTTGGTCAGTAGTACCGCATGCCTGTCTGGCGTACCTGCATAACACAGGCTCCCCACATATATGGCTGGTACTGTTGCATTGCCTCTTCTTATAAGAATAATTGCCAAATATTGATAAATATTAATGTTATATTGGTAAATATTATTTATTGTCATTATTCTTATGTTTATATAATATAGAGAATAGAAACACGATTCATTATTTCCTCCAGCACGATTTATTGAAATTTCTTTTGCTCTTGTATGCTTTAAGAAACTTTCTTTCAATCTCCAAACCTGTTACTGGGAATGTCTAAAATGTTTAAGATCATTGTTACATTTGGGAAAATGTTGATCATCTTTCCTTCATGAAAAGGAACAGTAGGATTACAGGTTATGTCCTCACATCACTCGAGTCCTCGCCAGGCTTTGAAAAAGGAAGCGAGCATGTGAGGGTCCCTGAAGAGGGAGCTTCCTGAGCTCTAAGGCAGCAAATGTGCTTCTGTGCTGAGGTCTAGGCTTTGGAGTCCCTGCGGAATGGGGCGAGTGTCTCCCTTCCACATCCCCTGTGGCGCAGGCATGTGACCATCGCTGTCCCACTGACCCTGGACTCAAGAAGACCAACACTCGTGCATCTCACGTCCCCAAAACCTCTCAGAGCAAAGGGGCTTGACTGCTCAGCTTTCCCCGAGTCCCACCGTCCAATGGATTTGAGCCTAATGTTCCCTTTTCTTGACAATACTTGAATGATCTTCAGAAAATTTAAAATTATTATTTTCCCAAAACATTTAGTGGTTTCCGCTAGAGGGTGGGTCCCCCTGAGTCATCAGGACCAGTCCTGTTTCTTCCAACCGCGCTGGCCCCCCTCAATGAAACCCCTCTTGACTTAAACATGATGTGGAAGGTGATCACTTCCAGGTTCCCATCTGGACAAGCCTCTCCAACTCCCAGGACCTCGGTATATCCACCTGCAGGGTTGGGTGGGGCCGGGGGGAGAGGGTGGGACAGGGTGATTTCTCAGCC